AACTAGCTCTGAATACACAAGGGGAAAGCAGCTCATTAGCAAAGCTACCCAGGCCTGTCCTTCCTTCCCTCCCTTGCTTGCAAGGCTCCCAGCCAAGCAGCAGCGGAAAGCATTAACTGCAAACACAGCAGAACCACGGTGGCATTTCCACCCTGGAAAGGCACCTGCCCGCCCAGGGATGGGCTGAAACAGCAGGAATGCATTTTGTGGTGCAACAAACAACCCCTCCAAAAATACCTCGGCTTTGCAAAGCCATTAAGCAGTGCAATGCCCAAGAGCTCTCATTCAAAGCCCTGCTCAGAGGAGCAGGCAGGCAGGGGTGAGCTGCCCCTATAACCGAGTGCTGGGGGTGCACGTGTGGCTGCTGTGCCCCTGGGCAGCACAAAGGGCCCTTTACCCACTGCCAGCATGTTTCTCATCTGCACATCACATGTGGGTGCTCTCATCTCCCATTGTGGGCTGCCCAGGCCAGGGAAGCTCCCAGCACTTAATGATAGCTCTGCAGCTATAACCTACCTGCTCTCTGCAGCAGGGAGTCTCCTGCCATTAACTGGAGAGAACCCAAGCAGCAAGAAACCCCTGCAGGACTGGAGGATGCTAAGCATTCTGCAGAAAGGAGGTTGTTTCAAAGCAAAACCCACCTGCACTGCTTCTCACAGCAGATGGGCCACACGACCCGCCTGCACCTCCGGGTCAAACACAAACAGGGTTCAAGTGAGGTTTTGGGGACAGCTGCAGGCAGAGCTCCTTGAACTCCCTTCAGGGATGGAGGAAAGAGGATATTCCTCCCGAGAGCATAAGCAAAGGAGTCAAACAGCCTCCTAAAGAGCACTGCCTGAGCCACAGAGGGACCCATGCTCAAGTCCCTGTAAGCCACGTTAACACCAGGTTCAGCGTTTGCTCCCATTGCTAATTCAGAGGCCTTTCACGCTGGGGCTGCGTTGACAGGAGACTCCTGGGTGCCATTCTGCCTTACCTCCTCTTTCCAGGAGAGAGGGACAAGAATCACTCCATGGGAGAAGGACTGACCCCAGCCACGTGCTGAGATGTCTTTGGGACGGCCAAGCACAGACAGCACAGCACAGCACTGTCCTCTCAAGTCCTGGAGCATTTCATAGAATCACAGCATGGCCTGGGTTGCACAGGTGCACAGCGCTCATCCAGCTCCAAGCCCTGCTGTGTGCAGGTCGCCAACCAGCAGCCCAGGCTGCCCAGAGCCACATCCAGCCTGGCCTTGAATGCCTGCAGGGATGGGGCATCCACAGCCTCATTTTCAGGGCTTCCCATTGGAACTGACAAAGCTACAGAGATTTACCCCTGCTCCAAGATGGCCCAGAGCCCATTTTCCTTGCAAATACCTAAGCGGGCGTCTCCTGGCACCGAGCACGGCGCTGGCTCCAAGAATGCCTTGTAGAACTTGCTGTACCACACTGCCTTTGATTAATGGGATATTCTTGGATGCTTGTTCCTCCGTTAACTGAGGTTAAGCACAGCAGGAAGGGCTGCTTGACTGAAAGCTGTTTTCTAAATAAATGCTCACGTGAGAAGGCAGCATCACTCCCAGATCTGGGACTGGGACTTATGGAGATCAGGGGGAAAGTTCATTACTGTGAGAGTGGTGAGGTGCTGGAACAGCTGCCCAGAGAGGCTGTGATGCCCCGTCCATCCCTGGAGGTGTTGAAGGCCAGGTTGGATGGGGCCCTGGGCAGCCTGGGCTGCTGTGAAATGTGGAGGTTGGTGGCCCTGCATGGCACAGGGGGGTTGGAGCTTCGTGATCCTTGAGGTCCCTTCCAACCCGGGCCATTCTGTGGTTGTGTGACTGACAAGCTGTGCACACCCACTGACCTCAGTGACATTGCTGGCCATCCTCTGACTTCAGAGCAGCTGCTGTCACCCCCAGCTCCCGGCCACAGGAGAACAAAGCAGCAGGGAGCTGCATGGCACGGCCAAAGGAGGATGGATGTGCTGCAGACAGAGTGAAGGCAGTGGGAATCCAGGACAGCAGAGCAAGGCTTGGGAAAGCGCAATAGTAAAAGATAAAGGATTCTCACTGCTTCTATCTCAGCAGCAAATATTTCCTTTTCCAAATGCAAACAGACCTTTGTCTGGTAGCAATCCCTTGGGTTTCCCACGAGCACCAGGCAGGCTGATGAATAACACTGCCTCCTTGTTGCTGCCCACTGTTCCCCAGGCAGGAGCTAAAGGGCAACGCAGTGTTTCCCAGCCTCTGGTTTGTCCCACATGTACAAAGCAATCGGGCTTAGCATCCACAGAGATCCCCTGCACCTCTAAGCCTGGCTGCATCAGTGCATGGGCTGGGGGCTAGGTAACACAGCTGCTAATTAGCTGCTAACCATCATCACAGCCGAATTCAACAGCACGCAACTACAGCCAGCAGGGCCGGCCTCTGCTGCAAGGAGTGCAGAGATGCTGTAGGGATCAGCGACCTGAGCACAGTTCTGGGGCTGAGGGGGTGTGAGATCCCTTCCATCCCAACAGCTCCCTCATTTTGGGGTTTCCTCTCTCACCATCAGCAAGCTGTCAGGCCTGCCCTCACCATGCAAGCACAAGAGGAACTCAGATGTGTGAGGAATACATGAGCCAGCTCCATCTTGTGCTTCTGCTTCTGACATGACTAGCAGCACCACATCTTCCCAGGGCAAAACCCAAACAGCTGTGACACGTGTACGAAACTCAGACACTTCAGATTAAACCTGTTTCCTTCTTTGCTTCGCTGAACATTTACCCCTCTTCCCAGCAGCTGTCCTGAAGGGAAGATAGGAACAGAGAGGATGTCCAGCTTAGAAATCCGACCTCCCTGCCTTGTATGACATCGTGTCTCAGCACCGATTATTCTGAAATGATCATCTTTGTTTTCAGAGGGAAGCGAAAAGCAAGGCAGCTCCCAAAAAGCTGTGCTAAAAGCCCTTTGGTCTCCACCCCATTTTCACCCAGAGGGTGGTGAGGCACTGGCACAGGTTGCCCCAGGAGGCTTTGGATGCCCCATCCCTGCAGGCATTCAAGGCCAGGCTGGATGTGGCTCTGGGCAGCCTGGGCTGCTGGTTGGCGACCTGCACACAGCAGGGGTTGGAGCTGGATGAGCACTGTGCTCCTGTGCAACCCAGGCCATGTTGTGATGCTATGACCACCCGCTGACTCAGCAGTGATTGACAAGGCCTGGCAACCCTGCATTGACACATTTGATGGAGCAGCAGCCCAGCAAGCCACGTTCAGGTCAACCTGGGCTCCAGTGAGAATCACATTCATCTCAGGTCACAAACAATGAGCACTGTGGATTACTTTGCACAGAGCACTGTGATATAAGAGAGAAGGCAACAGCTGACACCTCTGCCCCTTCTCATGGTCTGTAGTGGGTGGTCATAGAACCACAGCACGGCCTGGGTTGCACAGGAGCACAGTGCTCATCCAGCTCCAACCCCTGCTGTGTGCAGGTCACCAACCAGCAGCCCAGGCTGCCCAGAGCCACATCCAGCCTGGCCTTGAATGCCTGCAGGGATGGGGCATCCACAGCCTCCTGGGGCAACCTGTGCCAGTGCCTCACTGTGTTACAGGCACTCACAACAGCAGGAAGGTGGGGCAGAAAGGGGCAGCCACCTCTCCTGCAGGTTTGCCTTGCTGCCTAAGGGCCGTGCTCCCCAAAACACCCAGAGGCTCCAGCTTCAATTCACAGGCTGTTGGCTCCGGATGCACAGCCCTAACCCAGGACGCAGCCAAACTCATCCAAAGCTTGGGCAGTTTCACTACACAGCATCTCAAGGAGCGCTCCTGAGCTCAGAAGGTGAAATCATTCCTTCAAATTAAAATAAACAAATAAATAAATAAGTCACATCTAATGCCAACAGAACTCTTTTCGCTCCCCCAACAAACACGCAGTGGGAAACGGCAGTGAATTCAGGCCCTGTCCTATCCCCAAACCAAACCAACTACCCACAGAAAGGCAGGCATGACTTCGCAGTCTGATTTTCAGGTAGATGCATGGAAACTCTCAGCAGCAGCAACACGGCAGCTCCATGCCTGGCAGCATCAGTGAGGTACTGCATTGGCAAAGCGCTCCCTGCAGAACAAGCCATGCTAACCAGGCTCGCAAGGGCTGACCCCGCAGCAGCTGAGTGCACACAGCACTGCCCATCACCTGTGCTGGATCTGCACCTAACAAAGGGGGAGGTGAGTGCTGGTGCAGGCTGGGCTGTGTGCTCATGGCAGCTCTGCCCCCAGCTCCAGCAGCCTCTCCTCCAGCAGGGCCCTATGTGGGAGTGACTGCACTCCGGAGCTGATCAGCATTCAGGGGATGCCACCCTCCTCCTCCTCCTCCTCCCCCCCATGAGTCAGTGTGCAGGAGGCAGGCAGCCCTTTCTCATCATCAGTGTGCTGCAGGTTGGCTTTGCCCTTACTGCCCAAGGAGGCTGTGGATGCCCCATCCCTGCAGGCATTCAAGGCCAGGCTGGATGTGGCTCTGGGCAGCCTGGGCTGCTGGTTGGTGACCTGCACACAGCAGGGCGTTGGAACTGGATGAGCATTGTGGTCTTTTGCAACCCAGGCCATTCTAGGATTCTAGTTGTGAACCACTCATAGAAAAGGGCAGATTTTGAACCACGAGGTCGGAAAAGACCTCTAGGATCATCAAGTCTAACTGCCAACCCATCATCACCAGGGACAGGGCTTAGCGGGTCACTGCAGTGACCCCAGCGCTCCCTGGGCAGCCGTGCGACCACAGCACCGCTGTACCCAACCTGGTGCAACATCAGGTATCACCTCCAGTCCTGAGATGCCAAGGGGAAATCCTTCACTCAGAGCGCAGCGAGGCCCTGGCACCGCTCACAGCCGTGGGTAGCCCATACCTGGAGGCACCCAAGGCCACGGATGCGCTGTGGGCATCCCGAGCTGGGGGGCACCCGGCCCACGGCAGGGGTGGGAGGGACTGCGGGCCGCGAAAGCCCTCGCAACCCAACCCGCTGCGATCGCACGCCGCGCCCCCTCACCTTGTGCAGCTTCCACATGGCCCCCAGCGCCTTCACCTCGTGGCTGGAGTGCTTGCCCTCCTCCAGGCACTGGTAGCACACGGGGCTCTTGCACTGCACGCAGTACATGCTGTGGTTCTCCAGCTCGTGGTCCGTGCACGTGGAGATCTTGCGGGGGCTCAGACGGCGGCCGACGCGGCCCTGCGCGGGCGGCACCAGGCGGTGTTTGGCCAGGGGGCCGCGGGGCGGATGGCAGCGCAGGCGGCACGGCTCGCAGTAGAAGACGTCGCACTGCTCGCACATGACGGCCGCCTCTTTGGGCGCCTTCTCGCACAGCTGGCAGCGCAGCGCCGCCGCCCGGCCCTGCTGGTAGCGATCGATGACGCCCTCCAGCAGCCGGTTGCGGGGGAAGCCGCGCAGCCCGCGCTCGTCCAGCACCAGGCTGCGGTGGCACTGCGGGCACGTCAGGCACGCGTTGCGGGGCGGCGGAGGCGGAGGGGCCAAGGCGGCGGGGGGCGGCGGGGCGGCGGGAGGGAAAACCCGCACGCCGTTGGGGGATTTCTGGCACGGGGTGGTGGGAGCGCTGGCGAAGCCGCCGTAGGAGCCGTAGCCGCTGTCCGCCTCGCTGTACAGGCTCATCTTATCCAGGTCCAGGTAGTCGTAGTCGGAGACGGCCGAACCCGACGCGCGGCGGCTCTGCGGGGATTCCGAATCCGGCGTCTGCACCAGGATGTTGCGGGCGCACGCCTGGCACAGGTTGTGCGAGCAGGGCAGGATGATGGGCTCGCGGTAGAAGGAGCCGCACACCGGGCATTTTAGCTCCTCTTCCATCTCTTCCATAAGGGGAAAAGGCGACGCGCGGCGCCGGCCGCGGCACTGCCCGACAACGCACCGCACAGCACCGCGTCCCGGCGCCGACTGCCCGCCGCCCGCACGCCGCCCCGCCTCGCCCCGCCCCTCCCCGCCCCGCGCCCTCTCATTGGTCCGCTGACAGCGGGGAGGAGGCCGCCGCGCCGCTATTGGTTGCCCCTCCCGTCCGTCCGCTGGCGCCGCGGGGGGGGGCCGTTCTCGGGGCTGCGGGGTCGGCGCTGGGGCGGCAGGCCGCCTCCGCCGCAGTCCCGGTTTTACCCTAGAGAATGGCCCCGCCGCCCCCCGGGCCGCCCTCCGTCCCCGCCCAGCCCTGCGGGTTGCCCCCAAGATGGCGGTGATGTTATCACCGTCGTTTGCCCGCTCCCCTTCTGCACCCCGGCAGCCTGCGGGAGGATTCGCTTTGTCTGCGGGAGCCGTCGATTAGAAATCGGGATCGAACGTGAAGATATCGCTGGGAGCGCGGCGGGATGCTGGGCCGTGCAAAAAAACCACGACGGTGCGGTGGCTCTAAGACCCACCGGGAAATGGCAGCAGTTGGGGGTCGGGATGCGCTCCCGTATCCCCTCCAGCCTTCATCCCAGCCTTCATCCCAGCCTTCCTCCCAACCGCATCCTCCAGCCGGGCTGTAGGACACGAGGAAGGCAGGGCTGGGGAAATCGATGGGTTTCTCATCTAAGATCAGAGCGAGGAGCAGCAGGATGTGATGCTGAAGGCTGTCTGTGGCTAATTAATCTGCCGGGATCATGGCAGCACATTGATCTGTGGGGCAGAAAGGAGCCTGCCTCAATCCCCCCCATGGGTGGATTCCCAGAGCGGATCATTGAGGTGGTAAATTGGCTGCTCCCACCTTTGCTGTGTGCTGTGTGGGCTCCTCGGTCCTGGGTGGGATTTTGTGCAGGTAATGGGCAGCCAGGAGGGTGAGTTTGGGTTGATTGGTGAGGCTCTGAGCTGTGCTGGAGCTAAGAAATAACAGAGAGGAATGAGGTGAGACAGAGAGCTCTGCAGGCTTCATGGCTCTCCTGTAACACCTCGAAGAGATGAATGAGAGTGGGTGGGCTCAGGGCCCCCTCCTTCCAGAGGGACACTTCCACCCATGCATGGCATTCCTGCTCCATGGACAGAAGTGAGCTCTGCACGGGGTCCCTGTGTCATGTTTCCCCATACCTGCTGGAACAATCTCAGTGGACATGTCCTTGGATGAGAGTTGCCTTTTTTTATTCCTTTAAGACATTGGCAGCCCACAATTCATCCTGTACTCAATGAATAAAACCTGGTCCTCTTCCTCTCAGCCACTCTGAGCAGATGAGCTCATGGCTGACAGCAGAAATCCTGGTTGATTTGTCTCTGTGTGCACACCTGACCTTTAGTTCCACATCCCATCCTCATTCCACCTTTCCAGGTCATGGAGCCCAAGCCTGATGATGAGGCCTCCAGCAGAAATGCCTGCTGAGATGTCCTACAGCATCCCAGGTCTGAAATCCCAGCACTGAAACAGGGACTACCAGCACAAATCCACCACTTCTGAAAGGTGTCCCAGGACAAGCAAAATGGTTTGGAGTTGAGGGAGGGCAGATGGAGGTTGGCTGTCAGGGGGAAGTTGTGTGCTGTGAGAGTGGTGAGGGGCTGGAACAGCTGCCCAGAGAGGCTGTGATGCCCCGTCCATCCCTGGAGGTGTTGAAGGCCAGGTTGGATGGGGCCCTGGGCAGCCTGGGCCGCTGTGAAATGTGGAGGTTGGTGGCCCTGCATGGCACAGGGGGGTTGGAGCTTCGTGATCCTTGAGGTCCCTTCCAACCCGGGAAACCTCTGTGAAACCTCTGGCCCTGTGGCTCTGTTTCTGAAATGTAGAAGCTCCGGAGGTTGGAAACATCTCCTGTCTGCTCGTGGTCTGCAAGGAAAGGTGCCATCTTACTGCAGGTGTTGGAGCCCACTGAACTCAGGTGGTCCTGAGGAGTTCCTCCATGCATAGGTGGTGGCATGAGTGCCATCACAACTGTGTCACCTATTCTGGGCAAGCAGCATCCATGGGGTCCCATGAAATTCACCTGTTTTGGGGTCGGGGCTGACTCTTGAGCCCAGCAGCATCACATAAAGGTTTTCTGCTGACTTCAGTGGCTCTGAGTCAGGAGCTGCTTGAATCACAGGCAGTGTCTGACTGCATCTGTCCCATCTGTGTTCCCAAAACGATGACACAAAGCTTCTCTGGCTGCTGAGCAATAGCTCTGGATCTGGGTGGCCTTTTGGTGCTACAGGACCTGATGCCACACGGCCTCCTGAGAAACACCAACGGGACCATTAACACGTAAGCATTTCAGGTGTTTGATGGCCGTTTCCTTTAACAGGCAGGGCTTGCACTGGGGATGCTGGCAGTGAGCATGGTGACAACATCTCCCCATCACCTCCAGCACCACTTGCTGGACATACACTTTGGCAGATAAGTCAGCCGGATTGACATCCAAGCTGGTGGCACATCAGCATCCTGTATTTGCTGAGTGCTTTCAGAGGTGACATCATTTCTTTCCATCCTATTTTTCTTCGGGTTTTATCGGACGGTTTCTGATTTCATTAGCTGTTGCTAATACACAGGAAGAGCTGAGCTGCAGGGATAATTTGCGATGCTCCTTTGACCGCTGCCTTTGTGCTGCCCACTTACTCATCTCCCCTGAGATTAATGCCCCACTTTCCCAACCTGTGACTCATCTCAGAGAACAGCAACACTGAACTCATCCCACCCGAGCAATCTGTCCTTCCTCCCACAGCCTGGCTCTGTCTTCTTCGCCGCTCTCTGCTGGCTGAAGACTCTGCTGGGAGCTTTCAGGGCTGGAGATGCGGCGTCCCTGCAGACAGTGCTGCCTCTGCATTGCACAGAGCACCCATTGGAGCCCCCCATTCCCCTGCTCCGTGCTCACATCCCTGCTGGCAAAGCTTTCTCCGGTCCTGCAGATCTGGCAGGAACTTGATGATCCTCGGGGTCCCTTCCAACTCAAGCCATTCTATGATATCCCTGTTTTCCAACAATTTCTGCTTGCTTTTAGCTCATACATCACCATGTAAACCCACTCCACCTTTACAATCCTCCGCAGTGCAGTCAGCTTTGCTGTGATACCCAAGCAAATAAAACTTCACATCCCAACGAGCGCCTGCGTTCGATGCAGAGAAGGGCTTCAGGAACATCATTATTAAAGAGCAGCATGCAGGTTATTTCATTTCCCAGCCTCTCTCCACCCATGGTGGCTTATGGCTCGGAGCTGGAGGAAAATCACTTTAAAAGTTTTTGGATGTATCAAGTGGGAGGCCAAAATCTAATGTATAGCTGCGTCTGGTGCAGACTTCTTCACGCTGCCATGGTAACCAAACTAACTAAAAATAAGAAGTATTCCCATAAATGTCAAAACACACCATGCTTTCGTGACGTACCGAGTCTTTGACCTGAAATCTGTGATCATTATGTAACGGTGTTTAACATGAAGGTAATTGCAGGGGAAAATTGTCTCCAGGTAAGGCACTTTGCATAACTTAGGTAGCCAGCCTGCTTCCCTGCCTTCTTTGTGTCACTGACATGATAACCAGTGCTTAACAGAGCTGCTCACATCACTTGGATTTGTTATCTGCTAATGCACACGTGGCCCTCATGGAACTGGTGCCATTGACCATCATCTCTATGTAACCATCACCCAGGGCTTGGTGAAATCCAGGCTTCTGGAAGGCTTCCCGTGCAGGTAGCAGCACCACGTGGACTTCAGAGCCTTGGGAAGGAGCTTGGAGAGCTTGGAAAGGAACGTGGGGAACCTGGTGTAGGGGTAGATGCCTTCACAGAGGGCATCCAGTGTCAGCACCCACCATAGCATCGCCTCCCATGTCGATGAGGTAGCGAGACAGCCGGGCCAGAAAGACCCACTGAGCCCTGGGGGGAGGTCTGGGTGGGCTTGGGGTGCTGCTAAGTGAGCCAACAAGACCCACAGTGAAGGACAGCAGCGAGGGGACCCTGTGCTCCACGTTGGGCTGTAGGGGTGGGTGGGCTGCAGCCCCACCTGGGATCAGAGGTGCAGGTCCTGCACTCACTGCCTGCAGGGAACTGCTGCTCCCAGCCCCTGGTGTGGGTGTTCCATGCCTGTTGCCATGCAGTGACACATTCAGATGAACCAAGGGGGTGGAAGTGTTGAGGAGATGTTGAGAGAAGTGAGCTAGATGTGCTCCCAGCCCTGGAACCAACTCTCACTGAGACACATCAGGTTGACAAAGTCCCATCTTCCATCTCAAGAAATGGACAACGTGGCATGGAGAGAAATCCATATTCTCCCAGGTAGGCTCACAGAGGGCAACATCTGTCCTCGTTTGGGCCCATATCTGGAAAACAAATATATGTCTACAGCTATCCAGCAGTGCTTCTCTAGTGGTTGGTGACCCTGCACACAGCAGGGGATTGAAACTGGATGATCATTGTGGTCCTTTGCAACCCAGGCCATTCTATGATTCTATGATTCCCCTACACACCACAGCTACATCCTGCTCTTCTGCCACCAAGGTTAACTTCAGAAAAGTCCAATTTTTGTCTCTTCAGGCCTGAGGAGCCTTGGGGTCTCGTTAGAAGTTGGACTCAATGATCCTTACGGGTCCCTTCCAATTCAGCATATTCTATGATTCCAAAGCAGCACCATCCAGCCCTACAGCCCATGTACATGTAGGGGATCCAGAACCAGCCCTGCTGCAAGAAGATGTGCACCCACCCTCCCACCTCAGGCACGGCAGCAGATGCTGGCACAGACGAACAGTCGATCTGTGTGGGAGAGGACTGGGAAAGAAAATATCTACTGGGAGACGTCACTTGAGACACTGATTCACTGGGGGCTGAGCTGTCCTCACTGCAACTTCACTGGCATGGGCTGATGCTACTCTTTTGGAGGGTCCTGTGTTGGCCACGCAGTGGGGTTTTACACAAGAAGATTTAGGAACAAATCCCCTCTGATGGTCTCGTGGATGTCCTGGAGCTGCTCCTGTCTGGCTCTAAGAGCGTTACAAAGGCTCTAGGCTTCCTTCTCCCACTGCTGCTCTGTGT